AGAAAACTTCAAAATGCATCTTGTGGTTAAATGTTACTACAACTATACATATTAAAGTTTTATGAGTAAGAACTCGAAAAGATAAAATAGTCAGAGATTCAAAGTACAAATTTTTCATATAATGAAACTAGTTCATAGTTTTTCTCTGTTTACTTGTAATATAAATATTTCCAAAATAAATGTAAGTTTTGATTGTTCTTCGTATTTTCTGTATTTTTTTAGTGCCTTATTTTCCTTTTTTTTGCAATTCCTAGTGTCTTTTCCTGCCTTTTTCGCTATTTTGTTTTGCCTTTTTTTGCTNAGTTTTGATTGTTCTTCGTATTTTCTGTATTTTTTTAGTGCCTTATTTTCCTTTTTTTTGCAATTCCTAGTGTCTTTTCCTGCCTTTTTCGCTATTTTGTTTTGCCTTTTTTTGCCTTTTTGCAATTTTGCGCATCACTCGAAAACGAATACAGAGAATTGAATGCAGTTTTCACCGATATATTGATAGAGGTCTAACTTAAAATATAGAAAGAAAAAAATTAGAGAGTAGCCACCTTTTTGAAAATTGTAGTTTAAGTAAATTGATAAGAAAAAGTGGATATTGCAATATGGGCGCCAAAAGAAAGAGGCTTAAGAAGGCTTACAGCCAAACATATTTTTTCGTACATACCTAGTATGTACAACATATAGTAGATATATTCATATTTACCTTTTGCTCCTTCCAACCGACTAGTGGCGGAAAACAAATAACAAATGATAGCACCCAAATTCCAACAATCAGCGACTTGGCGCGCTTCGTCGACATTATACTTGGATAGGTAACAGGACGCGTAACAGCTACATATCTATCAAGAGAAATTGCGCATAGGTTCAATATTGATGCTGTACACATCCACACATCGACAGCAAGCCATATGCGGCACCAGACGTCACCGAATATCCACACCTGTGATTAAATGAGAATAAAATCATATACATATTTACATATGTACGCACTTAGGTATTAAGACAAAGGTGTGATTGTTGAAATTCAAAATTAACCAATGCAATCCCAGCAAACACAGTCTCTAACGTTAAAGAAATTCGGATTTCTACATTGGATAACTAATATTACGTTCTCATTGAGCCATTCACTCGAGTTTAACGTTTTGAGTTTATGAACTACTGTCAGGCGTTCACATTGGGGTATTTAAGAAACTCAGAGTTTTATGTGAAATTTTTTTGTTTACTTTTTCTTATTCTCATTTAGTCTGTTGCCGTACTACAGGATTTAACAGTCACACACATAAGTCCAGAATACCAACCGTTTAGCCATAAAAAAAAAACAAGAAATGAGGAACGATAGAACTTCTTACGCAAATTGCAACCATACCAAAATTATTTGGTGCAAATAAAAACCAAAACCAATAAAAGAGGTTAAANCATAAAAAAAAAACAAGAAATGAGGAACGATAGAACTTCTTACGCAAATTGCAACCATACCAAAATTATTTGGTGCAAATAAAAACCAAAACCAATAAAAGAGGTTAAAGTTCAACTTATCTATTTCTTATGTGTTTAATATCTCGGAAACTACTTAACCGATTAAAAAAATATTGATGATAATTTCAATATAATTTAAATGCCTTTTATGCGACGTATATACTATAACCAGTTTTACAACTAATTTTATTTTGTTTTTTAGTATTTCCGGACTAAAAATATAAAAAAAGCATATAAATTATATACACGCATGAAAGACAAATTAATTACCTTTATTTTGACGTCATTAGTTTTTTAATAGGTTATGTTGTCCAGAAGATATTAATATTAAAAAAATCAGAAAATTTAACTTTAACCATTGATATCTTCTTTATTTTTTACTTTCGCCAGATAATTTTNACATGAAAGACAAATTAATTACCTTTATTTTAACGTCATTAGTTTTTTAATAGGTTATGTTGTCCAGAAGATATTAATATTAAAAAAATCAGAAAATTTAACTGTAACCATTGATATCTTCTTTATTTTTTACTTTCGCCAGATAATTTTGGTAGGGCTGAAATCAGGACAAAAAGTTCTATCTAGCCACATTTTTGGTCTTCGCATCGCTAGATTGTTGATATTCTAGACTTATCGTCGTCTCAGAAAACGGATGTCGAATGTTACAAAACACGGTTTGAGAAAATTGACTTTGAAGTTTAAGGTCGAATTAATCCGAAACTGTACGGTAGATTTTTGTAACTTTTGAAGGAGACGTAGTTGGTGTTATTAGTTTTGATNTGCATCGCTAGATTGTTGATATTCTAGACTTATGTGCACAGGACGACCTCGGACTAATTCTGATTAAATCCTGCAGTATGGGAACAGACTAACT